AAAAAGGACAGCACTTTTAGAGTCTGATGTGAGCATAAGTATTGGCACAGTTGAACTTAAGGCAGAAGTAAAAGATTAAAAGCTATTATTTAGTTGCAGATCCCTTGCATGCAATCACAGCAGTGAGTCTGCGACCCATAGACATCACTTGGTGTCATCCTTTGAAATGCTTTTCCCAGCCTTTAATGCAGCCAATTCCAGCTGTTGCTTGTTTTGGGGAGTTTCTGCCTTTAGTCTCCTCTTCAGCCGGTGAAATTCATGTTCAGTCAGATTTAAATCTGGAGATTGACTTTCCATTTCTTTGCCCTGATAAACTCCTCGACTGAACTGGCAGAGTGTTTTGGGTCATTGTTCTGATGCGTTACGAAGCGCTTTCTGATGAGTCTGGGGGCATTTTCTTGAATACTGGTAGCCAAGATGGTTTTGTACCCTTCTAAATTCATTCTGCTGCTGTCACCCTTTGTTTTTGCTATAGCTCTAATTCTTTTAGCATCCAAATTGCTTGCTTTTCTCTCAAAGTCAGCTCCCTCGTCTTCATCCTGGTTTGTGTGTGCTCAGAATGCAGAAGCAATGGATATAACAGATACGACACATTCCCTGCTTTTAATATCTGAAGAATTAATGTAACAGGACACAGCTGATCACTTAGAGAGACCTGTGAGGCAACTGTGCCGATACTTGTGCTCACATCAGATGAACTCTAAAAGTGCTGATCTTCTTCGCTGGTGTGTGTTGAAACAGCTAATATTAAAATCTGACATTCTGTAGTTTTGTCTCATATTCATCTTTTAATCATATTTGCATGCTTCTTGACTCCACAGCAAACAGAGCAAGTTTGTCTTTACTGTCCCAATACTTATGGAGGGCACTGTGTATATATTTGTTTTAGTTAATTAACTATAAAAAGCCTGATGAAAGTTATGAAGCAATTCATTAAAATGATTCAACAGACAGGCCTAAATTTCATCTACTGAAATGTTAAAGAATCATGAAAATGGACTTCTAAAATTGTGGATGTTTAACATTATTTCCATGCAGTCAGTTATTTAACAATATACAGTAATTGGGTGTCTGTTCATTCATTAGATTAGTTCTGATTGGTCAGTTTGTCTCTTTTAGTTCCACGTTTTGAGAACAACCTGTTTGACTTCGATGTTGAGCTGGGAAACACAGAGGAGCTTGCACAAGACGATCCAGGTACAGATCAGCCTTTAAACGCAAAACAGACGAAACGAGACGGCGAGGACCTTCCTGACGTGTGTGTGTGTGTGTGTGTGTGTAGGATGTCCTTCAGCTAAACAGACTTTCTCTCGTGCTCATTCTCTTCATTCTCTCGTTCTGCTCCAGCTATACGGGCTGCTTGGCAACCGTTGCTTAGAGACGGGGAGGTAAGCCTGCACAGGGAATGATAAAGGCCTCCATTTCCTACAGTCCTACACACACATACACACGTCCATACTGGAAAGGCGCACGCATACATACACTGCAACCATAGACGTGCATTTCACACACAAGATGTTTTAACAGCTAAAGGAGATTTTGAGCTGCTCGTTTGATGAGGGTTTGTGTGTTTGGATGACGGACTCAGAAGGAGATCTGAAATGGGAAATCAAAGATGATCCCGCTGGTAAAACACATCAGAATTACACCGATCATCTTTCAAAGAAACTTCTATGAACTACTAATACTGTTCTAACCTGTCAATCACTCTCAGGTGGGCGGTACCTATCAGTACCCGAGGCTACGAACAGACGCAGTGTCAAAGGGGCGCGGCTTACTGTGTCACTGGCCCCGCCCACAAAGGCATGGCAGGGCGGCGACCTCTGCCTGTCATTTAGACACCGTCTCCATGGAAACCACATCGGCTCTCTGCAGGTGTTTGTCAGGAAGGGGTGGAGTCACAACCCATCCATCTGGACCAGGACTGGAGGACATGACTGGAGACACGCCCAGATCACCCTTTGGGGGCGGGGCCTGCTTGATGTAAGCTCATATATATATAAAAACATATAAAAAAACATTTTTTTTTTCTTTTTGCAATTTCTGTGATCAAAATGCAATCAAATGATTTTGTGGTGATAATTTCCAGATATTTGCGCAGAATTTGCAATGTTTCTTTTATAATTAGGATCCCACATTTACCATATTATTTATGTAATTAGATGTACAGTAGTCATCATACATAAAGCTTGTTTATTTTTGTCTCATGAAATTCTGACACAACTTCAAACAAGATTTATTTTTGTTATTAAAAATAAGAAGCATAAGATGCAAATTATTCCTTGAACACTGAACTTTAATTGCTAAACTTTCAGTCCAGCCAAGATTTCATAAATCTATTTTTATTTGGTTTTTTGGAATTTTTGTGATAAAAATGACTGCTTTTGTGGCTGTAATTTCCAAAAGTATTTTTTAATTCTTAATTATGAAACCACATTTACCATATTATGTATGACATTGGATGTACAGCAGTCATACATGACAGAAAAAACAATATGCATAAAGCTTGTTCATTTTTGTCTCACCAAAATCTGATTTAGTATTCAGGTATAACTACTACAGAAATTAAATAAACAAATATAAAATAAAACACTGAATGAATAAAACAGTGCATTAATCTGTGTTTCTTTTTGCGATTATTTCACGATTAAATGATGCATTATGCAGGATCACAAAAAATGCAGCATTTCGTTGGTTTTGCGTATGTTCTGTGATCTGAAATGTGAAAAACTGGAGGGACTGACTTCTGATTATGTGGTTTATTACATCAAAACCAAAGCTCTGTAACTAGCATTCACAGTCCAGACTGATATCTGTATCCATCCTGCTGTTTGTGATTATTGAGCATGTGCGTGTTGATTCTAGTGTGATTGATGCTGTTCTGTATCAGATTGTGCTGAAGGCAGAGAGACGGCGAGGGAAACATGGAGAAATCGCTGTGGATGATTTTATTCTGAGACGAGGAGCTTGCAGTGATGAACACCACAGGACAGAGTGACACACACACACACACACACACACACACTGGACAG